TATAACCTCCCCCATGTACATCATACTTTAGGCAATGTTTGTTGTATATATGCATATGACCCTGTACTGTTTATGTTTTCATGTATGTTTATAATTTAGATCTAACCTGCACATATGAGAGAAAAACGTGCCATTTGTCTCTCTGAGCCTAACTTCACTTAATATAATTTTTTCTAGGTCCATTTATTTCCTTGCAAAGAATATATTTGAAGGAATAATATTCTCCTTCCTGATGGGTAAGTAAAATAAGAAAAATTCCACTGTATGTGTGTGTAGACTCACACTTACCACATTTTCTTGATCCATTTGTCTATTGTAGGGCATTTGGGCTGCTTCTGTAACTTGGCTAGGGTGAATAGTGCACATGGGTGTGCAGGTGTCTTTACTGTATCCTAACTTGTAATCTTTTGGATAAATGTCCAAGAGCAGAATTGAGATCATAGGGTAGTTCTATGCTTGGTTTGTTGAGGAATCTCCAAACTCCTGAAGGATAATTTTGAAGACGTACTAGAAACAAGCCAAATCTAGTAGTTTCATAGTTCTTAGAAAAGCAAGTTACAGTTTCTCTCTAATCTTTATTCATAAAGATATGTCAAATGCAAAAAAGAGGCCAAAATATTCTTTCCTACTTTTGTATATAAAAACTGACTCACACCTGTAATCCTAGCTACCCAGGAGACTGAGATTTAAGGATCTTGCATGATAAATGAAATAAGCAGTCACAAAAGTATATAAGTTCACAAAGATACCTAGATTAGTTAAATTCAGAGTCAGAGAACAGAACGGTTGTTACTGGGGGCTGAGGGCAGGCAGAATGGGTAGTATTATTTACTGACTATAGGGTATTAGCATTGAAACAATCAGAAAGCTCTAGAGAGACAGGCAGTGATGATTGCACAGCAATATGAACATGCAGAATGTTTACTTAAAAATGGGACATAGGCATGGCTTAGTGATAGAGTGTGTGTCTAGCAAGCATGAGGCCCGGAGTTAAAACCCTAGTACCACAAAAAGACAAAAATTGTAAATATTTTTATCACATGCAGAAAAAGAGGTCAAAACAAAGAAGTTCCTGCATAGTCACTATAAAAATTCATTCATTTTACTAGAAAGTGTATGACTACTCAGTCATGCTGAGGATATTAACTCATTAACAAGCTCTGCCCTCCATGAAGCCAATGAAAATTACCAGAAAATTATCATCTATTTTCTACATGTCTGAAAAAAAAAAAGCCCAGGCTTTGTTTAATCAGTAGTAATGCATCACCCTGAAATGTCCATAACAGAGATTGCACCTGGAGGTTGTCAGTATACAAGAATTCAAAATTTTCTTACCAGAAAGAAATGACAAGTTAGGCAGGCAAATCTAGCAAAGAGCCCTGTCTTGTCTGCTAACTTACTGGGATAATTCTAGTTAATGCCCATCTGTGGGCTTAGATTTTATTTTAGAAGTATATTCAAATCTACTGAGGATTAAATTCTTGATTTTTTTCCCCTACTTAGTTCAAACAATTATAGGGCCATACTGCATCCTAAAACCAGCTCTTTGAGAAGCTGTGAATAAGTGACATTAGCATTAATGTTCCTAAGTGAAGGGAGAGAAGTACTCTAACACATGTTGGAGATAAACAAGGCAGTCAAATACTTCTAGTCTGACAGGGTTGAGAATAAAACCAAGTGCACTATAAAGCTGTCATTTAGCACTCTTCAGTGGCAGCTAGGAAAGAGAACTATTTTAAGGGTGGTTTTGAAAAGGGTATCAAAGCCAGGTGCCAGGCACCAGTGGCTCAAGTCTGTAAATCTTTTAAGGAGGCTGAGATCTGAGTATCACAGTTTGAAGCCAGCCTGGGCAAGAAAGTCTGTGAAACTCTTATCTCTGATTAACCACCAGAAGACCAGAAGCAGCACCGTGGCTCAAAGTGGTAGAGTTTGACGCACAGCCCCCAGAAAGAAAGAAAGAAAGAGAGAGAAAGAAAGAGAAAAGAAGGAAGGAAGGAAGGAAGAAAGAAAGATTGGTGAGAGGGAGGATTGGGTAGGGGGGTGGGGGTGGGGGAGGCTGGGAAGGGATGGGAAAGGGGAACAAAGGAGGAGGCTACAATGCTTGATAAGAAATGTACTCATTATCTTGCCAATGTAATTGTAACCCCTCTGTACAGTATTTTCATAATAAAATAAATAAAAAAACAGGATAATAAAAAGAAAGAAAGAAAGAAAGAAGGGAAGGAGGGAGGGAGGGAGGAAGGGAGGGAGGGAGGAAGAAAGGAAGAAAGAGAGAAAGAGAAAGAGAGAAAGAGAAAGAGAAAGAAAAGGTATCAGGACCCTTCCAAGGCTTCCAAGGCAAAAAGAATGCTAAGAGAGATAGTGAGTATACAAAAAACTTCGTAACAGCAAGTATACACTACTGATCCCCACTACTCAGCATCATAGGCATGCAATTATTCATTGTCTAAGTAAATCTTTGAGAATTCCCATTTCTTCCCTATTCTTGGATACTCTCCCTATCCCTAGGAACTGCCTCATTTCTGGCTTATAGACTTCTTTTGAGGTGTTTTTTTTTTTTTTTTTTTTTTTTTGCCAATCCTGGAGCTTAAGCTCAAGGCCTGGGCACTGTCTCTGATTTGCTCAAGGCTAGCACTCCATCACTTGAGCCACAGTACCACTTCTGGATTTTTCTGTTTATGTGGTACTGAGCAATCAAACCCAGGGCATCATGCATGTTAGGTAAGCACTCTACCACTAAGCCACATTCCCAGCCCCATATGTATTTTTGTTTTCTCTGGTCCTGGATTTGAACTCAGTTCCTGGGTGCTGTTCCTGAGCTATTTTGCTTAAGTTTAGCATTCTACCACTTGAGCCACAGCTCTGAGATGTATTTTTATTACTTCATTTACTTTGAGAAAAGTTGAAGGAGGGTTAGGACACATGCTTGCTAATCATCCTTTTCCAGATTGCCTCATGCACCACAATGGGATTTTATTATTGGTCTGTGGCTGCTACTGCTGGAAAAAGATTTTAGCCTGACCTTCACAAGCTGCTGGGGGATGAATGCTGCACGTGGCTGACAGCAAAAATGTGTCTTACTGGTTTTTTTTTTAAGCTTCCACACTAACCACATCTCACTGTGGCAGGAAAGAAAATTACTCCTTCTCTCACTGTACAGAACTCAATATGTTGCAATCCTCTACATAAAAATGAGATAGTAAAATTGACATGAATTGGTCCAACAGGAAAAGGTAGCAGCACCAAGAAACACCTTTTAGAGAGTTCCAGCATCAAAGAACAGAACTTTGAACTGCTCAATAGGCATAGAGGAAAAAGAATTTTTAAAAATCAGAGATATAGCCTTGCACCTGTGGCTCATACCTGTAATTCTAGCTACACAGGAGGCAGAGATCTGAGGATCATGGTTCAAAGCCAGCCCAGGCAGGAAAGTCCGTGAGACTCTTATCTCCAATTAACTATCAGAAAACCAGAAGTGGCACTGTGCTCAAGTGATAGAGTGCTTGCCTTGAGCTGAAGAGCTGAGGGATAGTGCCCAGGCCCAGAGTTCAAGCCCCATGACCGATAAAAAAACAAAAAACAAAAACGAAAATCAACCCCAGAGTTTTAGGGCTGGGAGTGTGGCTTAGTGGTAGACTGCTTGCCTAGCATGCATGAAGCCTTGGGTTCGACTCCTCAGTACCACAATAAAAGAAGAAGCTGGAAGTGGCACTATGGCTCAAGTGGTAGAGTGCTAGCCTTATGCGAAAGAAGCTCAGGGACAGTGCTCAGGCCCTGAGTTCAAGCCCCAGAACCGGCAATAGAAAAAAAAAACAAAAAACATTTTTAAATGTGAGGAGGCATCCACACAGCTGGCCTCACCAAAGAGAACAAACACCTCAAAGAAAACAATGACAGACTAATAGAGTTCAATCCATCTAGTTAAGGAAAGAGCCACTGCAGAGAATCCTGAGAAGCCTGTCTGTTAAGAAAAGGCTTGCCTGGTGTCTCATTAGGTAAGACAAATAGCTTTCAAGGACTGTCGGAACGCACCAGTATATACCATAGCTGCCAGATCAGTTTAGAGCTCAGAAAAGGGTTACAATGATACATCGGCAAGAAAGGACTAGTGGATTATATGTGTTTTTCTTTTTTGCTTGCAATCTATATCTTGGCCCCTCCAACTTGAGAGCAAGATGGGAAAGAAAGAAGAGAAAGTCTATGTATGTTTTATTTTGTGCTTTTAACAACACGAGAATGAATAGCCTCAAAATTAAACATCAAGTTCAACCCCATGTCATGCTAAAGCCCCATCTGGACTTTTATATAATGCAGAGTTGAGTACAACAAGCACTTTGAGACACACACACACACACACACACACACACACACACACACACACACACACACACACACACACACACACACACACACACACACACACACACACACACACACACACACACACACACACACACACACACACACACACACACACACACACACACACCCCCCCCCCCCCCCCCCCATCTGAATCTCTTAACTCAGTCTATGCCATAGAAAATAGAAAAACCTGGTTGAAAATAATTGCTCAAGGCAAAGGGAACTCAATTACTAAGGAAAAATCTGTCCCAATGAGGGCTCATGTTTTACCGAGACGAACAGTTTTAAATTAAACTGAATTCAGAGTTTTCCTAATTGGCATTTTCATCCATTTTTAAGTTCTCATTAAAAAAATCAAAATGACTCTAAAATTAAGAGTAATGCTTTACATGAAACAATAATTCTCTAAATTTTCATCTGCATATCTTCTATATAATTAAACAAATCCTTATGGTAGTACAAATTCAATCGGTACTACTCTATTTAAAGTACTATCAAACAGTTCTACACTAATTCCCCTTGACAGCTTGGCTCTTATGGTCTCTGTTAAAAGCTCAGCCACAGAACTCCCTGCTATCATAGAGAAAGCAAGTGCTTGATCCCAGATACTGGTCACTCTGGGCAAAGTAATGGCTTACCTGCTCCTCTGACAGTTGAGATATATGATTCACAGCAGCATAGGACTCAATTTTGGGATTAAAGTGGTTGATGATGGCTCTGAAAGAAAGAATAACCATTAACACAACATCAAATAGAAGATAAACCAATCAAAAAATAAGGATATGATATCTTTTTGGTGTAAAATACTAGATCAAATGATTTTAAAAAGATAACTGTCCTTTCACTACACCACGAGGGAGGTTATAAATGGGAATGGGAATGGTTTAACTATTTATTACAAAGAAGATGGAGCACCTCTGCTATGCAAATGAGCTAAGGAGAAAAAACTCATAACAAAACAATCAAAAATCATGCCAAGAATTCTTTAGACAACAAACAGGACTCCAGGTTGCTGTCCACTAGGGGGCTCTGGTGTTCTAATCTGAAAGAAAGTGGACTTAATCAAGGCTGATGCAAAATGTTGGGTAAATACAGTCTCCAAAGTCTAGAGGCAATCATCATGTAAGCCAAAGTCTGAGAATTATTTTCAAATATTCCTTATAACTTGCTCATACCCAAGGTCACCACATCCTACAAAATCTACCTCTCAAAAAATCACTGAAATTTGAGCTGGATGTATGCCTCAAGTGCTAAGTAAGGTACCTAACTAGCAAGCTCTAAAATCCTTGAATTCAAACCTTAGTAATACCTAGCAAGCAAACAAACAAGAAAATCCTAACTAAACGGAAATTTCATTTAAGTAAATCTACCCCCAAACCAATATATTGGTATAGGTTCTTATCATTTCTTGCCTGGTATAGCAGAAAGAACATGGGCTTTAGATCAAAGTTTGACATGTGTCTGTATTGATATAAATGGGGGAAAATAAAAATCTGACCCATAAATAATCTTACATAGTATATGTAGTTAGCTCTCACTCACATTGAGGGCTAGATAATGTCATGTGGATGTCATTTAACCCATGGTATCTTTTTTTCTGGGGTCCGGTCATGGGGCCTGAACTCTGGGCCTGGGTGCTGTCCCTCAGCTCTTCAGCTCAAGGCTAGTGCTCTACCACTTGAGCCACAGCAACACTACCGGTTTTTTGCTTTTTGCTTATGTGGTGCTGAGGAATCGAACCTAGGGCCTCAGGAATGCAAGGCAAGTGTTCTACCACTGAGCCACCTTCCCAGCCCAACCCATGGTATCTTAACACGAGAAGGGCATATTATCTCTGTGGTATCCTTTTAAACATCTATAACCTTATTTTTTTGTTAAGATGTTTATGATGCAGTTTAAATAACAATCTTATTATACATTATTCCATAATATAATCCAAGATTACCTGAACATGAAGAACCAGGAAATTTTCTGCTCATGTGCAGAATGACAACAGATGTCAGATGAAACAGATGTTGAAATGATCAAATTCATTGAATTGTCCATTTAAAATGGGTGGGTTTCATATACAGTGAGACCAAAAGAAGATAGTCTTAGGAGAAAATCACCAAGTTGTAATTCCCAAGCATTTCTTTATATGTATAAAATAATATACATACTGAAATGAGCCAAAGATAAGGAAACAAAAGGGCCTTTTCTTAATCTGTCTTCATTTTCTGATGACTCTGTATTCTTTATCTCATATATAGTGTACATACGTGCACATATGAAGGAAGGTGGGGGGAGGGCACAGAATCAGTGGAAAATGGGTGAAAAAGTGCAGCAGCAGAACACAATGGCTGCACTGGACACTGACGAAAGTGAACCATGTGCAACTCGTGGGTAGAGATGGGAGGGAGGGAAAGAGAAGAATGAAGAAACAGATGATACTATGCAAAAGGAAGGAAATGTATGTATTACCTGACATATGTAAAGGTAATCTTGCTATATATCACCTCTAAAACCACAATAAAGTAATTTAAAAAAAAAAAAGTAAAGCCGGGCGCCGGTGGCTCAATCCTGTAATCCCAGCTACTCAGGAGGCTGAGATATGAAAAATTGTGGTTCAAAGCCAACATGGGCAGGAAAGTCATTGAAACTCTAATCTCCAATTAACCACCAGAAAACCAGAAGTGGCACTGTGGCTCAAGTGGTAGAGTGCTTGCCTTGAGTTGACAAGCTTAGGGACAGCACCTAGGCCCAGAGTTCAAGCCTCACAACTGACCTAAATAAATAAATGAAAATTTAAAAAATAGGGGCTGGGAAGGTGACTCAGTGGTAGAGTGCTTGCCTTGCATCATAAGGCCCTGGGTTCAATTCCTTAGCACCACATAAGCAGAAAAAGCCAGAAGTGGCGCTGTGGCTCTAATGGTAGAGTGCTAGCCTTAAGGTAAAGAGCTGAGGGACAGTGCCCAGGCCCAGAGTTCAGGCCCCACAACCGACCAAAAAAAAAAAAAAAATAGTAAAACTGGTAGGTTTGTTATATGTAAATTATGCTTCTATGTACCCAAAAGAGCAAAACAAAAATAAAAGTCTTAAAAGAAGGACAAATTTGTTAAAATATTGTATTATTTTGTCTACAGTGTAAGGTAAATTGACTTTTTTCTCGCCTTTTACTTACTTTTAAACTTTTATTTTTTTATTTTTTGCAAGACCTGGGGCTTGAACTCAGGGCTTGGGCACTATCCCTGAGCTTTTTTTGCTCAAGGCCAGCACTCTACCACTTGAGCCACAGCACCATTTCCGGCTTTTTCTGTTATGTGGTGCTGAGGAATTAAACCCAGGGCTTCATACATGCTAGGCAAGCACTCTACTGCTAAGCCACATTCCTAGCCTGAACTTTTATTTTTGAATTAGCATGCATTAATGCTATGAGGGGTTTCATTGTGATAATTCCCTACAGGAATGAATACAGTGTATTTGAACAGATTCACACATACATACTGTTATATTCCCATTCCTCTTCTTCTATTCTCTATGACCTTAATTTAAACATCAGACAACAGTAAGAATGGTGGTACATGCTATAAATCCAGCTTTTGGGAGGCACAGGCAGGAGGATCTCCTGTTCAAGGCCAGCATGGACTATATAATAGCAAGAGCTTGTCACAAAAAAAAAAAAAAAACAGGGGCTAGGCCACGTGTCAGTGGCTCACATCTGTGGTCTGGGAAAGTGGCTCAGTGGCAGAGTGCTTGCCTTGCATGCATGAGGCCCTGGGTTCAATTCCTCAGTACCACATAAGAAGAAAAAGCCAGAAGTGGCGCTGTGGCTCAGGTGGTAGAACGCTAGCCTTGAGCTGAAGAGCTGATGGACAGTGCCTAGGCCAAGTTCTAGCCTCACAATCGGAAAAAAAAAAAAAAAAAAGTGGCTCACATCTGGAATCCTACTATTCAGGAGGCTGAGATCTGGGGAATCCTGGCCAGACCAGTTAGAAAAATTTACCAGACTCCATCTCCAACATAACAAGCATAAAGCAGGGCTGGAGGCATACAGCTCAAGTGGTAGCCTAGCAGACACAGGGCCTCAAGATTAACATTACCACCAAAAGCAACCAAGCAACAACAAAAACAAAGTTCAGTGGTAGAATGAGGTATGTATAAAACTCTGGGTTCCAAGCCGGGTACTGGTGGCTCACGCCTGTAATCCTAGCTACTCAGGAGGCTGAGATCTGAGGATCGCGGTTCAAAGCCAGCCCGGGCAGGAGAGACCGTGAGACTCCTATCTCCAATAAACCACCAGAAAACCGGAAGTGGCGCTGTAGCTCAAGTGGTAGAGCGCTTGCCTTGAGTTGAAGAGCTGAGGGACAGCGCCCAGGCCCAGAGTTCAGGCCCCACGACTGACAAAAAAAAAAAAACAACTCTGGGTTCCATTACCAGGAAAGAAAAAAAGGAAGAAAGGAAAGAAGGAAAGGTAGGGATAAGGGGAGGTAGGAAAGAGGGAGAGGTAAGGAAGGGTGGAATATTTCAGAAAATTCAGATTGAGAATAGTCTACAAGATACCAGTATGCCTATAACAGGAAAAATAAGACTTGAGAAATTGTTACAGGTCAGAGGGCAAGGAGAGACACAACAACTGAAAACAATGTAGGATCTGAACTAGATCTTGAAACACGAAGGCATGGTGCCTTTTTTGTTGTTTTTGTTGGTCATGGGGCCTGAACTCTGGGCCTGGGAGCTGTCCCTCAGCACTTCAGCTCAAGGCTAGTGCTCTACCATTTGAGCCACAGCGCCACTTCCAGCTTTTTCTGCTTATGTGGTGCTGAGGAATTAAACCCAAGGCCTCATGCATGCAAGGCAAGCACTCTACCACTGAGCCACCTTCCTAGCCCTATGATGTCTTAAAAAAAAAAAGTCCAGCAATGAGCAAAGGATGTCAACTGTAATAGATGGATACTACTGAGCTAGAATGTTGGAGGTTGAGCCAGTAAGAAGGAAGATTATTATTCTTAACATTCTTGACTTTTTAAAACCATTTTTTGAGACAAACTTGGCAAAAAAGAGAAAAGGTTAAATTAAACTTTCTTTGTGCTTTATTGTCCAGGCTAGTCTCAAACTCCTCATCTCAAGTGACCCTTGCCAGGCACTGGTGGTTCACACCTGTAATCCTAGCTACTCAGGAAGCTGAGATCTGAGGAGTGCAGTTTGAAGCCAGTTCAAAGACAGAAAATCTGTGAGACTTACCTCCAATAAACTACTCAGAAAAAAGCCAGAAGTAGCTCTGTGGTTCAAGTGATAGAGTACTAGCCTTGAGCACAAAGAAGCTTAAGGCTCTGAGTTCAAGCCCCAAGATCCACCCCCCCCCCAAAAAAAAGTTCAACTGACTCTACTGCCCCAGCTTCCCTAATGCTGAGACAGCAAGTATGAACCATCTTATCCACTCCCTTGCCCATTTTTTAAAGAGTGATGGTTGGTGCTGCCCACATTATTCAGACAGCCATCCAGAATTCAGAAGAGGATGCAAGGAGGATCCAAAAAAATATAAATGAGGCCAAAGAAAAGAGAAAGAACACTGAAAGTAAAACTCAGTGGGAAAATGGAATGAAATTTCTAACCAAACTTCCAGCTTTCCTAAAACTGGGACCAACTAAACGCTCCATGAGGGCAGGGATAAAATTGATTTTGGTCAACAATATATTAATAGGCCTAGTACACTGAGAGATTCAGCTTCAAAAAATGGA